TTGAAAAAACAAAAAGTCTTTTTTTTTTTTTTATAAAGAAGTTGGTTAATAAAACATTTATGCAATATTGAAAAGTCTCTGATGTTCATCAAACTATTCCACTATTCCAGAGAACACTATCTCAATACACTCCCCAAAATAGGGGCTGAGTGCACATCACCGAACATTTGGAACATTACATTTTTTTTCACGTGGAATGGATTGATAAACAAATCAGAGACTTTTCAATATTGCATAAATGTTTTATTAACCAACTTCTTAATAAAAAAAGGGCTTTTTGTTTCGAAGTTTTGCACATAACCAATCACGGAAAATACATCCTTCATCAATTGGAAGGAATGAAACGGGTTGCACATTGTCAGCCTCATATATGTTCGCTTTTGGCATGAGGCAATTGTAAGTCGATGGGCTCCAAAGAATGATTTGGATATGCTACAGAAGGCTGCAGCTAACGATTATTTTCATAATCGATTAGTTAGCCGATTAATCGACTAATCGGATTTTAAAAAAAGGCTCCAGTGATGGACTACTAGTTTCTATTGAGATTGTAGTCCATCACGGGAGCAAGCTTGGCGTGGTGGAAGAAAAAAAAAAGTGTGGTGTGCAATATAGTACATTATACAGCGGCGCAGTACAGAATACCAGCAGCTATAGAGAAATGTAGCAATAGTACATTATACTATAATGTACTATTGCTGTGATTTGTAGTCCTATGCATGTGTGTTCGGCGGCCGTGTGCGCGGTGGGCATGGCGTCCGCAGCGTGCATAGCGTAACTCGTGTATGTAGCTGCGAACAAGCGGGCGCGAGTGGGAAATTTAAATTTTAGCCGACGAATCGACAATGGAAAACGCTGACAACGTTTACCATCGGCGATTTTTATCATGCACAATACAATGCAATGCAGAAAACCAATGTATAATACACCGGCACACTGCAGAACATTAGCAGCTATAGAGGAACAACAAATCCCAGCAATAATACATTATACAGGCTGTATAATATATTATTGCTGGGATTTGGTGTTCCTCTATAGCTGCTGGTGTTCTGCAGTGTGTCGCTGTATTATACAATGCAGATTATCATGCACAATACAATGCAATGCAGAAAACCAATGTATAATACACCGGCACACTGCACAACATTAGCAGCTATAGAGGAACAACAAATCCCAGCAATAATACATTATACAGGCTGTTTAATGTATTATTGCTGGGATTTGGTGTTCCTCTATAGCTACTAATGTTCTGCAGTGTGCCGCTTTAAAAAAAAAACACACAGTAAACATTACAAAGCTCCCGGCCGATCTCGACTTACCTTAAATGACAGTGTTGTCGGCGGGCAGCGGCGTTGTTCGTTGTCGGCAGGCAGCGGCAAGTCGGGAAGCTCACCGGGAGGAAAGTGCCAGACGCATGTCCTCAGCGTGGCGTAAGCGGCGCGAGTGTCTCAACTGACGTGGGCGTGGCGTAAGCGGCGGACGTAAGCAGCGGGCGTGAGCGGCGTGCGGGAAATTTGAATTGTAGCCGACGAATCGACGATGGAAAACGTTGACGTTTTCCATCGTCGATTTTAATCGACTTAATCGAATAATTGTTGCAGCTCTAATGCTACAGCTTCTGAGCACTTACCCAGATGCAGACGTCAAAAAATGTGCTCTCACAGTTGCTAAGAGACACCTTTGGTATCTGTCAGAAACAAACGTAGGATTGGCTTTTTTGGACGAACGTATTACTCAGGCTGTTAAGGAAAATAGGACTAAAAATTTAGAAACCAAACCTGCAAAGGAAAAGGAAGTGAAACGATTAGAGGGTAAAAACATGGTTTTTGAAGGAAAAGACCCGAGCCATTTCGTTACTAATAAAACAAAGATGTTCTTTGAATTGTTTGGGATCCACGGCATGACAGAATACTGCAGTGATTCTCTAAGAAGCCATGTGAACGCTCTTAAGGTTGTCAATGATACCGCAGAAAGAGGTATTGATTTGATAAAAAAGTATAATGAATCGGTCAGGGATGAACAACAAAAACAATTCTTGTTGAGGGTAGTCGAGCATCACAGAAAAGGTCGTCACCAAGCGAACAAAACAAGGGATTGCATCGTTCAAAGTTGATTAAAATAAACACATGTTTTGCCTATCATATTACCTATTAACAAAACAGATCAAAGTGTGCAACCTCTAAATATTATCCAATCTTCTTGAAATTTAGCATATATATCTTTTACATCACTGAGACTCGGGGCGTAAGCAAAGTCTGCAAAAATTTTAGTTTATTTTTTGCCTTAGAAAATGAAACACCTTACTGTACGTACATTACAGGAAGTTGGCTCTTGTTAGACGTGCAGACGAGGGGTGCCCGCCTTTTCTTCCGGGTCAATGTGAGGTTTTTCCTGCTGTCTGTATCCTCATTAGAAAGATCATCTCACTTCCTGTCCTTGAAACAGGAAGTGAGAGGAAGCTACCCCTAGGAAGGAAAATTCACTCCTGTAAGAGCTACCTCTAGTGATGCCTGATCGCTTGTAGTACCTGCGGGTGTGCGCCCTCCCCGGCGACTGTCAGTGACATCAATGGGAGATCCGTACATCCTGTCCCCGAATGCAGAAGTGATGTATATTACATCACTTCCGCATTCAGTGTCACTCTCCGGTTACAGATGCCAGTGAGAAGCTGGTGAGGCAGATTTCTGCTTCATCAGCTTCTCTGGGGGTCCCTAGGTGACATTAGGGGTCTTGGAGACCCCTGATGTCTCCATAAAGAGGACCTGTCATGTGAATTGGCTATCACATAGGGGGTTTCTTAGTCCCCTATGTGACAGCAATAAAGTGAAGTGTAAGAAAAAAAAAAAGTTTAAAAAAATTAAAAAAGCATAAAAAAAAATAAAAGCTAAAAAAATAGTCACAAATGGTTTAATTGGTGGGGGAGATCACAGATGGAGGATTTCTTTGTTACTATTGTCACTAAATGGTTATTTATTGTGATTTATATTGAAGACTTATTTATATTTTGTATTCATTATCTATTTACATGTATATTTGTTGATTTGGTTTACGAGATCACACACCAACTTATTTGGTCTTATTAGCACAGGGCACTTTATATATTTTTGTGGTTTAACACAGAGCACAGCAGCTTTCATTATTTATCTAATTGGTCTTGGATATCTCGCAGCGCGAAATCCCTTTATTTGCATGTCTCCATTGAAGTCTATGAGCACTGTAATCTGCCAAAACGTTTCTCATGTACATTTTACAGGCACAAGCGTTTATCTGCTGGTGACAAAATGCTCAGGTGTGACCATGCGACTTTAAATTTGCAAATCTCAGACTCAAGTGAAAATAACGGTGAATTTTTTTACAATTAGGATCTTTCTAGTACGCCAGCTTTGTGAAAGAAGCTCTTTTTTTGATGCACCGGGGATATATACTTAGCAGATTTAAACTGTAAGTTCAGTTGGACTTTGGTATCAAATTGTTTCAACCTGTTTTATCAGTCAGAGGAATGGGACTTAAGATGCAAACAATGTGCAAAACCCTCATGGGGTTAACAAAACATGGGGCAGACAGAATCTGGAGCAGTTGTCCATGGCAACCAATCAGCTTCTCTCTTCAATATTTTTCAGGTAAGCTTTGGAAATGAAAGATCGATGCTGACTGGTTGCTATGGGCAACAGCTCCAGATTTTGTCTGTTCGTTCTGATAAATTCCTCTCACTGTATTTTTTGTAAAGGATTTACTGCTGCTGCTTCCTTTTTACTTTTATAGACAACAAAGTTCCGGCAGCAACATAATAGCTCCATTAGTGATGCCTGGCTTGGTTCTTTTGGGTATGTTGACAAGCATTGGCTGCCCATCATCCTTGACATGTATATTGTATTGCTAAATATAGGAAAAAAGAAAAAAACACACACACACACACACACACACACACATTATAATACTACTTGACAGTGACATTTTTTTAAAACAGAACTCCAGTCCAAAACAGAAAAAATGAATAGCCAAATAAGAATTAAAAAAAAATATATATCTTTTGCTGCAATATACAACCTCCATCCGCAGCTGCCCCTTCACTATTTCTATTCCACCTCTAGATGTCTTAAGTCTTCCAAGTTGAACTACTTAATGCAGGAAAAAATGACAACTTCCTTTTACATTTCTACCTCCTGTGGGCAGAAATGACAGGAAATTCACATCCACAGCTCAGCTTTCCCCCCATGTCCGTTGAGCTGTGTTTTTCTACAAAACCGCCACACGTATTGTGTTAATAGGGCACACAGAAAGCAATTGTTTTTCATACTATACATTTGCAGTTTTGTGCAGAAAAATGCAGCTCGATAGACATGGTGTGAACAAACCTTTAAAAAGAAAAAAAATCCATTAACCAACAAAGATAAAATTAAATTAAAAAAATAGGTAATTTTACTCCAGGAGATCCGAATTTATATATTATTACCCTTAGATGGTCTATCCACCAGATCTGGAACCAGCACAAAAACATGAAAAACATAGAATAAGACTGGCTACAGAAGTTGGAAGATCTTTATGAGGTTACTAGTAGATCGGGACAGAACCAGTAAATATGTAAAAAAGATTTATTACACATATATGTAGACATAGACACTGCCATCAACACACTGACAAATACATTTGTCATAGTCATAGTATTTGAGGTTGAATAAAGACATTAGTCCATCAAGTCCAACCTATTAGGATCTCATTTTAGATGCCCGGATTTCTAGTTTGCAAAATCAAAACATAACATTGTCTACAGACCTCAAACAATTCAAAACAGGTTGGATATATGGCCCACATTAGTGAAAACCTGGATATCAAGACCAAAACCAGCGATATTGAGTAAGTGTGCAATTGCACAATATCTCCAATCAGGGAGAAAAGCCCCTAAACTGGGTTGAAAGCAAAAAGGAGGATAGTTCCAAACAGGCTGGAGATAGCAGAGAATTATGTATATGATATACTTCAATTGAAAAAAAAATCACTCTATACACATCGATGCCCCATGATTGGGATCTAAAAGCCGTGGACCATTTCTTGAACACTCACTACCCAGAGGCGGCTCCGCAAAACAAATTCATATTAGAACTTTTGGAATTTGCTCTACATAATAACTACTTCCAATTCTCGGGAGCCTTTTATAAACAGATTAGGGGCACCTCCATGGGAGCACCATGGGCCCCGTCCTATGCGTGTTTACATCTGGGACTATGGGAACTACAGGTGGTCTATTGCCACCCCCTGTACCTGAGCCATGCTAAGACATGGCTCAGGTACATCGATGATGTCCTGATGATTTGGAATGGTGGTGAGGACCTTCTGAGGATCTTTGCATCAGATCTAAATAACAGAAATTGGAAATTCACGTTCACCCATAGTGACTCCGAACTCTCGTTTTTGGATCTGCTGGTAAGAGTGGAGGATGAGGGACTTGTTACTAAAACATTTCGAAAAAGAAACAGCGGCAAACACTTTATTGCATGCTACAAGTCACCAACTCTAAAACAGGGTATCCCAACAGGACAATTTTTTTGAATTAAGCGAAATAGTAAGCATGCCGACTATTTAAATGAATCTAGGGCTTTGTACGATCGCTTTAGAGAACGGGGGTACTCACATAGAACGTTAAATAGAAAAAACACTACCACTATGATACAATAGGTATGATTGATAACCTATTTGCATACAAAAAGAATAGATACCACCTCTGAAGAATAAATTCCTTCTAGAATTATTAGAGTTTGCCCTCCAGAATAATTTATTTCAGTTTGCAGGTGTATCCTATAAACAAATTAAGGGGACCTCTATGGGGGCACCCGCCTATGCCTGCCTCCATCTGGGATTTTGGAGGCACATGTAGTCTTTGTACATCATCAGTACCTGAGCCATGTCCAGCTGTGGCTCAGGTACATTGATGACATTTTCGTGGTCTGGCGGGGGTCCAGGGAGGACTTCTCGCTATTTGTGGGTGACTTCAATAGGAACACCAGAAATATTAAATTAACATTTGAAATAGAGGAAGCCGAGATCTCCTTCCTAGACCTCCGAATTAGGTCCTGTGAGGGAAGGTTACAAACCAGGACATTTCGTAAACCCACTGCAGCCAACACATTACTGCATGCAACTAGCCACCACCCGGATTCTCTGAGGAGGGGTATCCCTACAGGATTAAGCGGTACTGTTCAGAGACAAGCGACTATAGGGAAGAGTCTGCATCCCTCTACCGGAGATTTAGGAGGAGGGGCTATTCAAATGCAGTGCTTAGACGCAGCCAACAAATAAAAGGCCAGAAAACAAGGGAATCCATTCTGGTAAATGAGGGTGGTAAGAAAGAAGAGACATGATGATCCCGTCCGTCTGGTTACATAAAATTGTTCCAAATGGCATGAATTCCGAGGTAACCTAAAAAAAACATTGGCACGTCCTACAGCTCTGTTCGAATTTATAAAAAATTGTGGGAGAATACCCCCTAATGGTTGCACGACGAGCGAGAAATTTAAAAGGACCATTTGTCCATTCTGAGTATACTCCCAGCCCTTTGAATACCTGGTTATCAGATTTCAGTAAGGTAAAGGGGATGTTCCACTGCGGAAAATTTCAAATTTTTCCGCATGTGGAGAAGACAAAAATCGTTAGGGACTCAGAGGGTAAAAGGTCTTTTATATCAATCATTTCATCAATTGTGCAACGATGAGGGTGGTTCATCTATTCAAAATGCCCTTGTAATACATTTTACACGGGAAAACAAAACTCCAGCTAAGAATGATGATGACAATATACTGTATCAGAAAAACGATCATGTGCGTATAATCACGAAGTACGGCTCTGGGTGGGAAAAACTCAGACAAGTCTTAACGAAGCACCGGCATATTTTTGAGCTTTGCCCCACCTTATCAAAAATAGTTGGCCCGAGACCATTACTAACCGCGCGTAGATCACAGAATCTTAGAGATGTACTAGTCCGCTCAGAATACAGACCCAATCCCCCCACACAATCACTCTTAGGAACTAATAGACCGGTTTCCCTGCGGCAAATGCCAAATTTGCTCATTGGTTGACAAAACGAATGTCTTTAAAAACACTGAGGGCACTAGATCCTTCAACATAACCCAATTTGTTTATTGTGGCTCAACTAGTCATTTACCAACTAGAATGCCCCTGCCATAAATTTTATATAGGGAAAACGAAACGCCAATTGCGGGCTAGCATTGTGAGCATTTAAGAGACAAAGAAAAAAAAGACTGTGAAAGCCCAATAGCTATACACTTTGCTGAATTCCACAAGGGGATGTCGGATGGGTTAAAAGTGAAGGCTATCTATGCACTGAATTTATCCCCTCGGAGGGGAGATTTTGATACGATCCTGTTACAAAAAGAAAAAGATGTGGATTTATAGACTTAATACCATGACACCAGCAGGTTTAAATAATGTGTTCAATCTAAATGTATTCCTATAAACTTCCTCCTATTAGAAGCATTAAGATATGCATAAGCTGCGGACCCTCGTTTGTACCACAAAATGAATTTCTCAGAACAGTGTGTTTTTTCTGGATTGTGTCATAACGGTCAGCAATGGTTCACTCCGTTCTTCTGTGTACAGAAAACCCACAGACAGGTACAGCTACCTCCATAATTCCAGCTTCCATCCGAATCACACTAAACAGGGTGTCATCTACAGCCAAGCAATCCGATATCACCGCATTTGCTATGACACCGAGGACAGAGACAAACACCTGAGCACACTGGCTGATGCATTTCGGCGAAAGGGCTATAGGGAAAAGACTATATCCAAAAAAAATAAATCTGCCCTAAAAACACCACGAGAAAGACTCCTACAGTACAAGGAGAAGAAAAACCCAACCAGGACTCCTCTTGTAGTTACCTACAACCCCACTTTAGAGGTAATACGCAAAATCATCAAAGATCTACAGCCAGTACTCTCAGAAGACCCCATACGTCAAGAAATGTTCCCTCAGCCCCCAATACTGGCTTTCAAGCAACCACTGAACCTGAGAAGAAGATTGGTACGCAGTAAGATGATCCCAGAAGAGGAACGGACACAGAAAGGCGCAGTACAATGCAAAGAACCCCGCTGCAAACTTTCCCAACATATACAGTATGTGACAAGAATACAGCGAGTCACAATAACAAAGCGTACACCATTAAGGGGTCATACTCATGCACATCTGCTAACATGGTTTATATGATACAGTGTTCAGCATGTAACAAAGGCTGTTACATTGGTGAAACTGGCCTTCAGCTGCAGCTCAGGATGAACCTACACAGGAGCTCGATCAAGAACCACAAAGAAAATGACTATTGCACGCCAGTAGGACATCACTTCTCCCAGAAGGATCACTCCATCCAAAACCTCACTATTAAAGTACTGAAAGGGAATTTTAAAAACTCTCATGAAAGGAAAAACATTTGAAATAAAAATGATTTTACAATTCCATAGAGGGACTTAATGTGGATTCTGGTTTTCTTACACACGATCAGAACTTTTTATGAATATACAGAACGGCGAAAGCTGCATCCTTTAACTGTGCTTCAAGCTGCTTGCTAGTAACACTTTGTTGCGGAAGGAAGGCATAAAGTAATGTATGGATACACTGGATTCCAAATCTAATCTAAGAAGAAACGTATTTCCCTCAGTCTTTCCAGGCATGAAAATTTATTTTCTGCGGCACTTGCCAACATTCAGATGTGGAGTCTGAAACTCCGTTTTTTTTAATTGAAGGATACCATATACATAATTCTCTGCTATCCTCCTATTTGCCTTCAACCCAGTTTAGGGGCTTTTCTCCCCTATTGGAGATATTGTGCAATTGCACACTTAATATTGCTGGTTTCAGTCTTGATATTCAGGTTTTCACTAATGTGGGCTATATAGCCAACCTGTTTTGAATTGTTTGAGGTCTGTAGACAATGTTATGTTTTGATTTGAAATGTATTTGTCAGTGTGTTGATGGCAGTGTCTATGTCTACATATATGTGTAATAAATATTTTTTACATATTTACTGGGTCTGTCCCGATCTACTAGTAATCTCCGAAAGACTTGCTATCTTCTGTAGCCAGTCTTATTCTATGTTTTTCATAAAATTAAAATCAGCAGCTTTTGTTGCAATACTCGTCATTCCGATGCCATCACCTGCACACAATGATCTCTGCCACTAGATGGTGTTCCTCTTTTGGATTGAATGACAGCTAGCATTACTCAACCCACTTCCTCTGAGCCCAGGCGGTCATGGACATACCCTTCCTGGGGTGCATCCAATGCAAGCCTAGGCTTACAGTATTGAAGCATGTCATTAGTGGTGATCAGTGCAGCAATAAGGACTGCCAATGGAGGAGAAGAGGAAGTACCCTTGAAGTCACTGACTGGCCACAGGATTAAAAAAGGAAAAAAAACTAAAACAAAAAAACAGAGGTCCATGGGGGTGGTGGAGGTCCACAAAACTAGAGAGCAGCTTTCAGGGAGATAAATGGGAAGAGGATTACAAGGAAAGGGTAGAATTCTCAACACCCAATTTCAGCACACTAAAGGATTGCGTCAATTTCGCATAAGAAAATGGTGTGGTATTTTCCTAGCTGCAGACAAAACTTTTTTCTAGTTTTGGACAGATATCTCTATGTTTAAGCCCAACGGATGAAACGCACGAGAGGCTGAGGTGTGGGGATTTGGATCTGTGTGTAATAGATTAAACACAGTTCCTGAAAAAAAACGCACGCCACTGAACATTGCTCTGTTTTAGAGAAATTTTCAGCTGAAAGGGCTTCTGAAACTGACATGTCCTGGAATGTCAGGTGTGCGGTGTCCTCTGCTGTGCTCAGTGAATGCTCCTGTTGCCCCGCAGGACTCCCGTGTCATTTTAAAAACAGCCATGGCTGGTAGCAGAGCCAGAAAACACGCCGGCGTACCGCTAAAGGGTGGGCTTGGCATTAAAAGGTATGCAAAAAAAAAAATCAGTCAGCCAGAACTTACATTCTTGTAGTATTCCACAAAGCTGATTTCACTTCCATCTGACCTCTTAAATAAAGACTGTGGACTCCTATTCCAGGCAATTTCATCTACGCGATATGTTCTATTGTTGTACCTGCAAAAAAAAAACATATTAAAAGAGGTTCACAAGTAAGCCTGGGTTCACACCAAATGCATTGGGGCTCTGCTGGTCATTTTTTTCCCCCCAAAACAAAATAAGGCAATTTGACTTGTTTCAATGGGCTCAGTTGACACCACCACATTGCTGGAAAAAATAAATAAAAAGTACCACATGCAGTACTGTTTCAGCAGAGTAAGCCACGATAAAGTACAACCACCCACACTGTGCTGCACCCATAGAACTTAATACAATGTGATTTGGATCAGAACTTAAAGAAATGTCACTCGGGATTGGTGCATCAGCACTGTGACTACTAGCACACCAGTGTCCGTGCATTGTAGCGCAATGTAGGATTATGCTGCTGCCTCTAGGAGAAAGGGATACTATACAAAACTTTTTTTTAAAAGCCTGTCACTTTAAATGGCATAACTCCTCACACCTGACAGCTGTCGCAAGCAGTATGAAAGGAAATGAGGGGAGGGAGCATTGTCCCTCAATGGACTCCAAGAAAATAATTTTACGGTAATATCAAAATCCTATTTTTCCCGTCTTCTATTGAGGGACACAGCTCTGAAGAATTCTGAGCCGTAGGGAACAGAGGGATGGGCATCATAAAAACTAGCAAAAAAAACAAACAACAGTGGAAATACTTAAAACACCTGAAGAGATTTTCCTGCCAAAACCATCATCAGAAGAGGCAGCAACATCAACATTATAAAAACGTAGCAAAAGTGTTTACATAAGACAAAGTTGCGGCCTTGCAATTTGAGTAAAAGCCCGATTGTGAAACACCCAAGAAGTACTAACTGACCTAGCAGAAACAAAAAAAAAAAGGAACCGTATTCCGCAACGCATAAGCTTGAATGACAAGCTGATGAATCCACTTAGAAATAGCGGATCTAGAAGCTGAACAACCTTTTCTAGGACCTTCAGGTAGAACAAATAAAGAATACGAATGCCTAAAGGGAGCGTGGCTGACAGAAACTCTAACAGCCCACATAACATCCAATGAAGATACATTTCCTTAGGATGAACGGAAGCTGGACAAACTAAAAGGAAAAATAAATGTCTTCATTTGAATGAAAGGCCGAAACCACTTTGGGTAAAAAGGAAGCCTGCGGTTTTAAAACCACCTTACGAAGAACAAGAGTTCTCCACAAAACAAAGCAGACATCTCGGAAACCCTTCTAGCTGAGGTAATGGACACAAGAAGGGCAACCTTTTTGAAAAACAAACTCGGATAGGTTCAAAAGGGATGATTTTGTATTACAAATAAAACCAAGTTTAAATCCCAGAGACAAAGAAGAGCCCCAGCAGCTTAACAAGAGCCACATGTGCAATTCCCTAAATAAAAGCATGAATCAAGAAATTACAAGCAAGAGGACATTGAAAAAGACCAACGAGGCCGGTATCTGAACTTTTATGACACTTCGAGTTTAACATTGACCTACACCAAGCTGAAGGAAAGACAAAATTTTAAATGTAGAAAAAAAAGCATGTGGGGAAAACCCCCAAGGACTCACACCAATGGAAATAACCTGTCACATACGGTGATAAATCTTAAGAGTAGATGATCTATGAGCCTTAAAAAAGGGTAACTCCACTTAAAAAAATTAAAACATGGAAAAAAAAAAAAAAACTTGGAAAAAATTAATATAGCATACATCATTGCTGCTAAAGTCATTTTGTAATTTAATGTTATTAAAAATGACTTTTCCATTAATAACTGTAGCTGCTGTAATGTTCTAAATCCATCAAAAAATATTCACTGCAATATGGCAACTAGGGGCTTTCTGTACACAGTTCCTGTTTCTGCGATTGGCTGACTGATTTCCCCAGAAGTCTGCACTAAGATACAAGAATCATTTTTTGCATCCCTTAAGGTGCCCATACACCTTGCGATCATCGAAACCCCGCCCATCAGCAGGGCGGGCTTTCGATGATCGCAAGTACGATCTGCCTGTACAAGCTTTTAATTTGGCTTACAACCATTGCAAGACAAAGTCTTGCGATGGTTGTAAGGTGTTTGGGCACCTTTACAATAGGAATGTAATTTTTGGTGAGATACCCCCTAAGGGTTAATTACTACTAAAGGGATGAAGACACTGCACCTTTCCTCATTACAACACAGGAAGCCTCCAGCTGGTTATAATGAACCCATGCTGCAACAGCCTTTTCTTCAAAACAGAAACAGGAAGGAACCCAACACAATTTGTTACAATTCCTGTAGTGTACAGCGATCAGCCAGAGAGGACTGAATATTTTCTCAACAAAAGTGGAATTATGCTTTAAGAATGTTTGGAATAACAATCTCAAATTGCTTTGTCTTTCAACACTTTGGTTACAACAGCCAGGCCATTAAAGCCAGCGGCTGAGAAGCAGGGTGAAAGACTGGGCCTTGAGAACAGATGAACCAAACCGGCATACCACATCCTACGAGGCCAATCTAGAGCGACGAGAATGACTGGAATTCTATTCTGCAAAGCAGACGAGGCAACAGTGTCAGCAGGAAAGACATACATGTGTGTAGTGATCCCAACGAGTTACTAAGGCATCCACCGCATGTGTTGTTTAATCCCTCACTCTGGACACAAATCTGTCCACTTTCTTGTTGTGATGAAAAGCCAGAAGATACGGTGATCCCCAGCGCTGACAAATTTGTTGAGACATCTCTGGATGCAGAGACCATTCATCTGAATCCAGAAGTTGTCTGCCGAGAAAGTCTGCCAGTTTTTTACTCCTGGAACGTGCATCGCTAAAATTGCTGGAACGCGAAGTTCCGCCCAATCCAACGACACACTCTTGGTGCCTCCCTGGTAGTTGATGTATGCAATTGCCATAGCATTGTCTGACTGAATCCAAATTGCACACCCAGACAGCAAAAGGGTCCAGTGAAACAACGCCAGATGAAATCGCCCTCAAGTCCAGGGCATAGGCTGGAAGCTTGGATTCATCCAGACACCAAAAAAAACCTGCACAGACAGATGGTCCAAGAGACCGCCCCATCCCACAAGACTGTTTGTTGTGACAATCTTCCCAGTTATGGAAAGAAATAACTTTCCCATTGCCAATGAAGAAGGTTTCAACCACTGCGACAGAAACATCCTGGCTGGGGTACTCAACCTGAATATCTTATCCAGCAATAGAGGAGACTTGACCCCCCACTGTAAGAATGTTCCTCTGTAAATTCCTGGAATGGAACAAAGTAAAAAGGTACCACTTTGAAGGGTGACACTATCAATCCCAGTATTCTTATGCAGGTCCTCAGAGCCGAACGACAGGATTGAAGTGACCAAACCTGATCCTGGAACTTCAATATTTTGTTCTGAGGAAGGAACACTTTTGCTTCAAGGCCAACCGTTACTTTCTGATGCTGAGTTACAGCCCAGCTACTGCATCCATGATCTGGCATAGTGACAAGCATACACTACCAGGGTCGCACTTGTGACCGGGACCAGGTGTTCCGCCAGTTCGGGCGGGGGGGGGCCCAGAGAGAAGGGGAGGCCCGCTGCTCGTAGCTACCCATGCTGCCCGCGGCGGCGTCTTCACCGCTGCCGCCCGCAGTGTCTTGTGCGGCAGCGGTGAATAGAAGATGTAGCGCTGCGGGGGTGTGGCCTGTCAGGGGGTGACGCCTGTCAGGGAACTCCAATTCCCAGCAGGCAACTGAGGAGGGAGCAGCCGAGTAGGCCCGGCGGGATACATGCCACGCTTTAGGACGTCCTGGCTTGAGCTGGACCCTGGAGGCACAGAATTCGGGAGCACAGCTCACAGAGGAGATTCTGGAGGAGAGCTGCAGCAGGTCCCGGTAGGCACTGATTGTTCATTGCTGTATATGTGCTGAGTAGTGACAGTGTCTTACACTAATTTTTTTTCCAACCAAAAATAATATCGTTTTATTATTTTTGGTTGGAAAAAAAATTACAGTGCAAGACAAGACAGGAGGTGATGTAGATTACTTCCCATTCATTCATTCATAACTGAGGATATAGTAACCATACTCAGTCCTCAATTATCTACACTCAGCGATCACTGACTGCTTGTACCCCGCTCTCCCCTCTGACACAAAAAAAAAAAAAAACCCTTTCAAACCGGTTTGGAAAAAAAAGGGGTCAACATCATGTTTTTTTTTTTTGGGGGGGGGGCCTTTAATGGTTTCTTGCACCGGGGCCCTGAGGTTTCTAGTTACGCCTCTGCAAGCATACATTAGGTGTATTGTATTCGTGAGCTGAATCTATGTGCCATGTTCCATAATCAAGGAAGGAAAGAGTGTGCACCCCAGGCATCTAGATAAATGGTCACCAGTGTCTGGCTGCTGTACAACTTTCACAAGCACTGCCGATCCTTACTGAGTAAAAACTACATCAGCATACAGAGAGGAGGGAAATGAACAATTTTTTCCGGTAATCCTGAGCAGAAATAAAGGAGAGCTCTGTCACAGTGCCCTGCTAATGAAAGTCTGTTCTGACAATTCTGCCTCAGACACAATAATACTTAGGGGCCCCAACCGGTGTGAGGGAAAAAATATGAAGTACAGCAACTACCTGCTGCAGACAGTAGAATAATCCAAGAATGTTTGTGTAATAGTACATCTGTGTTCTCCCCAATAAGCGACATGAAATTGAGGGCAAATAAACAAAAGGAAGCAGAGTCAAAACCGCTCTGTCCACCTTCACCGCTGATAGAAGTGCACTAGACTGCTCTGCGGAAACTAGACAAAAACAGGCTGCGTATGATCGCACATGAGCGGTAGATAAAAACAAGTGCATCTTAAAATTGAAGTCCCGGCCTCTTACAGAGAATGCAAAGTTTAAACAAAAATCAAACTCCACATAAAAAGCATTGTCAAATAGAAGTCTAAAAGCACACAGCCCAAGTAAATAAAAAAAAAAAAAAAAGAAGAAGAGGGAAAAACACTCAACATGAGATAACTAATTTTTTTTACTGAAAGCTTCACGGTCCTGTTCCCGACAAATCCTGCTTCATGACTACTACACAAACTTCCAGCCAGGATTTTACTTATCCAGCATGAATCTCTGTTTTGTCGGCTAGCTAGTAAGACCCCCCTAGGCTAATAAGATCTCCTTCAGGTCCCTCCTCTGCCAATTGACAGCAAGCAAATCAATAAAAGTTAAAAAAAAAAAAAAAAAGGTTTAACT